GATTCCCTGCTTTTTATAAAAGAGTCAATAGGGGTTGACTGTCAGTTAGTTGCGACTTTTTTTTTTGTTGTTGTTGTTGTTGTATAGTTAAAGCATCACTAGTGTTCCAAAAGAACTGAAACCTTCTGCCAAAGCTTCAATGTGTTCAGCGTTTTGTGTTAAGTGAAACTGTGTTTCTCTCCTTTGGAGTTTAGAGCTATTATGTGTTTCCTGAAAAGCAACACTTGCCACAGTACAGCGAACACTTGTTATGTGCCTGAGCTATGTGCAATATTTTTGTTAATATGATATGTATATCATTATATTTATTATTAAAGCATGGAAAACCCCTTCAAGAGTGGACTTTTTGTTTTGTGTGGGAGGTGCTTGTCTTATGTCTGTTTCCACTGAGTGGTATGGTTCGGTATGCTTTTATGGCCGTACCACTTTTTGGGTACCCTATGCGAAGGGTACCTACCACAACAAAAGGGTACCAAAAAGTGGAGCTAGACACGCAACTGGACGCTATTTGTTTGGAGATGCATCGTTCGCTCATGCAACAAGCCAGAATGATAAAGGAACTGCCATGTTTCAAATACACAGCTGAGACATTACACCGTAATAATACATACAGAAAATAACGAGACATGGTCGACCTGAGTTCAAACAAACCTTGACGTCGTCTTGATGAACAGCTACAAAGCCAAGAAGAAGAGCAGAATTCACCCTGTGCCCCGTCGTTTTTTTACAAGGCCGTCTAGAGGTTTCGCTTTCTAGTGTGCACTCGTCGCGTGCGTGTCTATACTTAAAATAACAAACTTCTTGATCTGATAATAATAACGTATGCATGATTATTGAAGTGCTTCTGACATCCGATCTGTTCAGAAATGAACAGATGCCAGACTGACGTGAAAAAACAAAAGAGCAAATGATTCTTCCAGCAACCTAAAACATGAACAAAACATGTTTAACTATTATCATCACCGTTTGAACTATTATGAACTCAGAATGACTGAATTACTCTCTAACCAAGGTTACATGTGCTGGTGAAGATTTAAGATACAGACGCACTGACTTCGTTATATGTTTTGAACCCAAATAAGGACTAAATGTATGATGTGTGTAGTTTTTCTGTAACTGAACATATCAGAGACTGTAAGGGTCTGTATGTGCTCATATATGTTGCATTTATTTATTTTATATAATTGCAGACGTTACAGGCTATTTTGCATTATCATTGATCAGTGGTTATAATCAAAACCATGTTCATGTAAAAGTTAATAATAAAAATACAAGTATTTAATATTAAGCATATAAAGCTTCTGTTTTGTGAGAAGTGATTCTCATATGATATGTAACCGGCTAGTAAAGCTTTACTTTGACAATTTCTCGAGAATGAAGTTGAATGAAACTACCCTAGGTACCCTTTCGGCAATGGAAACGTAAGCCTGATAAGGGTGACCCGTACCGTACTGTACCACTTATTGGAAATGGGTCAGTAGAGATCCAAAAAATGTATAAATAAATAAATAAATCAATCAATGCTCACATTAAAAGAAGTAGCATGTCATTCACAAAGTAAATTCTCAGTTGCCTCCATTATGAAGATTTTAGCTAGAAGTATAGTGTTTTTAGGAGTAATATTCTGTAGATCTTTCCTCTTTAAATTAGCATTGTAAATACAAAAAAGCCACAAATATCCTTATAAATTAATTCCTTGTATAACTTAAGAATGCATGTAATGTTTCATTAAGGAGAAAATGGTTTAATGCTGCTATAATTTACCAAGCAAAGTGAATTAAACCTGTAAAGTAGTGAACCTTAATCTCCAGGATTAGTTTTAATCCGAGAATAATTCAATTTAATTCTTTGCTGTTCACAAGATGATGTTTCTTTGCACAGTAATACTTTTCTAAATCATCATTTTTCCAAACCATACTCTTGCTTTTCGTACAGTTATTTTCACACTTTTATTTTCAAAATTTGGGTTAAAATTACTTTAATTTCTTAATTAAAGTATTAATTATTATAAATTTACCATAAAAATACAGTAAAATGGGTAACCAAATTCATATATAGCTCACATTTTGTTTAGACGTGGAATTCATTTATATATATATAATATTTATTTTGCTTTAGATATCCTGACAAGGTTATTATAATTAATTCAAATCATTTAAAACTAAAACTAAATATAAAAAGTAATAATAAAAACTATGTATAGCTGCATCAAAAAAAGGCTAATAAAATATTAAGTACATTTAAAAATTATTTATATATACAACTGTTTTCAGATTATAATAGACAATATTTTATGTCCAAGGGATATCTTGTTTCATTAATGTTTTTATGAAGGCTAAAAATGTAGAAAGACTAAAAATAAGAAACATAATACTAAACATAAAATTCTTCTGAAAAGTATCTGAGATATTTGCTTACTTGCTCCCATGGCCATTTATATTAAAGTTGCATATTTAGCCGCACCATGTTGGTGTTTCGCAACATCTAGTTTTTTTTTTTTTTTTTTTTTTAATGAGGTGGGTTGTAAGCTCAATGCTTAATCCCTACCTGGAGGACCAGGACATACACACATACAAAATGGACAACTAAGCTTACCCAATTCACCTATAGTGCTTGTCTTTGGACTGTGGGGGAAACCATAGCACCTGGAGGAAACCCACCTGAACATGGGAAGAACATGGAAACTCCATACAGAGATGCCAACTGACCCAGCTGGAGCTCGAACCAGTGACCTTCTTGCTGTAAGGCAACAGCGCTACCAACTGCGCCACTGTGTCGCCATCTAAGAGAGAGTGGCATAAAGGAGCCTATACTTGACTAAACAACTGAAAAAACTTTCCAATGTTTTGTATATAGCCAGTCAGCCACAGACATTAAAGTCCAATAAAAGGATAGTTTAGCCAAAAAGGAAAAGGCTGTTATTAATTACTCACCCCTATGTCATTCCAACACCCTGAGACTTTTATCTTCAAAACAAAAGTAATTTTATATGAAATCCGAGAGCTACCGCATCCTTCTGAGGCTTTCAAAGTCAAGAAAAGGAACTAAAAACATTGTCAAAACATTCCATAATATATATAATATAATCACTCCAAGAACACGCGCTTGTGGGCAAAAAAATGGCGTGTGTTGTGCTGCTGACTCGCAATACGTCATACTGCCAGTAGTAAATGCGCGCCCAAGCGACCTGACGCGGGAAAATAAGAAAAAGGCAAACAAAGTTGTATTTACAATTTTACCACGTTTTTTTTTTACTTCGTGTGATTACAGTTAAACTCCTGAAGTCTCATGGAATGTTTTGACAATATGTTTGGTTCTTTTTCTGGACTATTGAACTGCAGCAAATTCTCTTACACCCCATTTTTAAAACGCATATTTGTATCCATTTCTCAGTGAATATGGTTGATGTATATTGGTGCATTTGAACAAAGCAGATTTTATTAAACATACTTTTATATTTATTAATACAATATTTTAGTCAGAACATCTTTAGAAATGGATACAATTGAATTCATTTAAAAAAATATACAAACTACATTTTGACATAACTGTATTTATTTTTGTTTCTCTTGATTTTTAGCTATTTTTAAAAATTTGATTTAACAAATTTGGGCTACTAATTTTTAAACCATGATTGCAAGTTATTTTGTTAGATAAGCTCCAGATTTGGCTTCAGTACTGACTAATCTAACGTATGCATATTTAATATAACATTGTAAAGCATCCTTTAGAAAATATTCATTTAAATGTGGGTGGTGTACTTGTATATGCTGAGCACTACATGCCAAAATACACGGAGTTGCTTTTGGATGTTTGTGTTAAAAAGCAATAGAACAAGTGTACTTTATAAAGTGGCCAGTGTATCATTTGAACCACAGGGTGTCTGAAGCACTAAAGAACAGATGGGGCTGTTGCATAACATGCGGACCTGCATGGATGAAATAGCAAGACAAATGCTTGCTGTTATGCATTATAGCCCAAATAGACACTACAGATCTGTTAGTAACCTACAGACTGAAATTTTTAGGGTATTATGTATGGTAAAAAGACGACGTGCTCAAATGGGTTTCCTCCGGGTGCTCCGGTTTCCCCCACAGTCCAAAGACATGCGCTATCAGGCACGTGCACACATTGGGCTGAACCTGTGCAGTGCACATGCCCTTTTTAGTCTTGGATAGAAAGTGCCCTTCCAAAATGACTTACAATGAGATTCTTCTGTTTTTCACAAAAGAAGGAAAATGAATTTTTTTTTCACAAAATTTTGGAAAATGCAGGAAACCTGTAACTAATAACTTTCATTGTATTTGCTTTCCTACTATGGACATCAGTGGTTACAGATTTTCAGATTTCTTTAAAGTATCTTCTTTAGTGTTCAACAGAAGAAAAAAACTCATAGGTTAGGACACACTTGAGTAAATAATTTAATTGAGTAAAAAGTCATTTAGAAAAGTCACAGAAATGATGAGCAGAGCTTCAGTTTGATTCACATGATTTTATTTTAATTATTAACAATATATAAAAGCAATTCATTACAAAACAATTATGAACACTTAATTATAAAACAATCCCTTTCCCTTGTGACAGAACACCAGATTCATTGATGAGGTAGAAAATAGTTGAGCAGATCTTTGATGACACTTTAGAGGAGAAAACTGTGACAGCACTGGACTTCCTAATGGAGTTTTAGCATTAATTCAGTTCAATTCATCTTCATTTCTACAGCGCTTTTACAATGTGGATTGTGTCAAAGCAGCTTAACATAGAAGAAAATTGAAACTGTGTCAGTCCAGTTTTCAGAGTTGAAGTTCAGTTCAGTTCACTTCAGTGTGGTTTAATTGTCACTGCTGAAAGTCCAAACACTAAAGAGCAAATCCATCGATGCGCAGCTCCACAAGTCCCAAACCAAGCAAGCCAGCGGCGACAGTGGCGAGGAACAAAACTTCACCAATTAACTAAAGTGAAGGAAAAAAACCTCGAGAGAAACCAGGCTCAGTTGGGCACGACCATTTCTCCTCTGGCCAAACATCTTGTGCAGAGCTGCAGTCCAGGCACCATTAATTACCATTATTGTCATTAATTACTCGCCTCATGTCCTTAGTTCAAATTCATGTTTACTTCATATTGAAAACACAAATAAAAACATTTTAAATGAAATCTGAGAGCTCTCTGACCCTAAAACCGCACGTTCATAAGAGCACAGTGCACTGTATGTGTGTCGCACTGCTGACGTTTAACCCAGAGGCCTGCGCGACTTCCTCTCATTTAAACAAAGCGTGGGCACATCCGAGGTAAACATCAGCAGTGCGACACACATACAGCGCAGGACAGAGCTCTCATGGTTTGATGAAGTTTTCTGGGATTTAAACATTTCTTCATTCTTGTGGTTTATGGAGGATCAGAGAGTTCTCGCGGTTCATCTCAAATATTTTCACTAGTTTTCTGAAGATGAAGAAAGGTGTCAGGGGTTTGGAGCAACAGCTGTCATTTTTAAGTGAAACTTCTTTCATGCAGAAAGAAAAACACAAAAACAATAAAACAGAAATACGACTTCAGAAGTTCTGTACTGCACTGTATGTGTGTCACACTGCTGATGTTTAACCCAGAGGCCTGCGCGACTTCCTCTCATTTAAACAAAGCGTGGGCACATCTGAGGTAAATGTCAGCAGTGCGACACACATACAGCGCAGGACAGAGCTCTCTTCAACACACGTCATGAACTGACACTGAAGAAAAGTGAGGTCTTAGGGGTTTGGAATGACATGAGGGAGTAATTAATAACTTTAACAGTCTTGTGAATGTCTGGAAATGGTGCTCTCCTCCTCACTTCTTTAGTTTTTTCTAAAAATGAAGAAAAACAATCAGAAATAAGACAAAGTTATTTAAGCAGTAATATGAAAGGCTGTCAAATAAAACTCTGTGTGTTCCTCTACCTCCTCTTGTATAACTGCTTCACAGGATTTGGGGTCGTTGGATTGAACCAGCAGTGCTCTTCTACCTGGTGTAACTGTAGCCGTTTAGCTGGATTACGGATCAAACACTGGGAAATCAGGTCCACGCATGCTGAAAAGTGTCACAGAGAGTGTGAAATATGTCTGCATACTCAACATTCATGAACGTCTTTAAATCTTACAACATCAAATGTTACAAAACATCCACAATTAAGTGACTTTAATATCTACAGGTCCTGTGAGCATTATATTTAATCCATTTTACTTATGACTGACATGTTTGATTCTGTCACTGAGGCTGAGATTGTTCAGAGGTGTCTGCTTACCTGTGGATAACCTGGGGTGTATCTGAATTGCGCCAAACATTATTGACTGTCTGTTATTGAAGGCCAGTCGTCCATGCATTATTTCATACAGCATAATGCCTATTGTCCAGACGTATGCCGGGTTAGCATGGAATACACGACATCTCAAAGCCTCAGGTGGCATGCCATGTCCAGCTCCTGTAAGAGAGACATTTCCAGAATTCAGTCATTTCATGAGACAATACTGTGAGCAAAGAAACTAACACAAAATTCCAACTCACCTCGATAGTCACTTTTATTGAAAGGCTTTTGGGTAATTGGCTGAGCACATCCAAAGTCGATCAATTTGAGCTCTAGTCGGGGTAGAGTCACCAGGATGTTCGCTGTGTGTATATCCCCATGGAAAACTCCACGCTCAGTGCAGAACATTATAGCTCGGATCAACTGACGCATTAACTGGCGTGCTTGGTTTTCCTCAATGTCCGCTGTGTCTTTGATGTACTGAAGCAAGGTCTGGCATGACTCTGCGTACTCCAGAATGAGAACACAGTTGTCCTCAATCTCAAGCCAGTTGTGTAATCTGATGATGTTTGGACTTCGCGGAGCTTTCATCAACCTAAGCATCATTGCCACTTCTGCAAGCACAGGTGTGGAATGACCATCCTAGAAAGAAAACAGATTTCAAAGACATTACCAAAGCAGAATGGCACAAAGTACAGTAACACAAACTTCTCTATGTGACACATTTTTGCTTGCATTTGAGCATTCAGTCATGCAGTTTAAGCTAAAAGAGGACTCTACATGTGTGTGTTCTGTCCGTCTCTGAGGCTGAGCACATGCACACAACAGCACAAGAGCTCTTTAGCACTTCTGAATGACTCGTATACACTCGAATAAATCAAGCACATCCCATGCTGCAAAAGTCCTGCTACTTGATTTTCCTGATTACCAGCTTTGTGTAGAAATGAATGCAGACTGCTTTACAAGGGGCCGGGATATGAATCAATGATCATTTTAACCTCCAATAATTCATTCATTCATTTTCTTGTCAGCTTAGTCCCTTTATTAATCCAGGGTCGCCACAGTGGAATGAACCGCCAACTTATCCAGCAAGTTTTTACGCAGCGGATGCACTTCCAGCCGCAACCCATCTCTGGGAAAACCTCCATTAATGTTAAATGAATTTTAATTAATTCCACAGCCCGACATTCATGTGTTCATAACTTGTCTCTGGGTTTATTTCTTCTGCTGAACACAAAAGAAGATATTTTGAAGAAAGTTGAAAACCAGTAAGCATTGACCTCAAAAGTATTTTCTTTTTCTACAATAGAGGTCAGTGGCTACCTGTTTCCAACATATCTGCTTTTGAGTTCAGTTTAAAGTGGTCCAGACAGGTACGGGAGAAGTGAAGGATGAGTAAACGCTCAGCACATTTTCACTGTTGTGTGAATTAATCAACTTACAACGTCCAGATAACGGTCCTGTTGACTCTTCACCATGCACTTCAGGGCAACCTGCGGAAAAACAACAACAAATTAAATTAAAGCCAACAAATTATTTATATTTATTAATCAGGAGGAAAATGTTGACTGAATTTTAAAAAAGTAGTTCTTTACCTTTACTCTTTTACTGCGTTTGTGAGATGCCACATACACCTGGCCAAAAGCTCCTTCTCCAATCAGGTCTCCGACTTCAAACTGAGTCAGATCAAGTCCTGAAAAACAGAAAAAAGCAAGGAGATTTACTTGGATTGTCTGGTATGAAACTGATCAAATATATGACTCCTGTCCTTTAAATCTGGACCTAATGCAATGATCTAAAAGCAGTAACTTCTATCAGAAATGCAGGTGTAAAGTGATTAATAATCTATATTAATTATGAATTACAGAATGATGACTTACCACGAGTGAGCCCAGAAGCCTCCTCAGGACCCTGGCCTGGCAGACATACTGACTCAAGGTCTGGCTCTGACTCTGGCTCAGGCTGTGGCGTAAAATGCAGGAAAGGGAGCTTTGCAGCCTTCCATGCTCTCTTAAAGAAAGCAGAGACTCTTTTCCCTTTCCTTCCTTTCTTGGGGTTTTCTAAAATGAAGAAAACAAACAGAAATATCTTCATGAACAAAGCTGCAGCTACAGTGCTCAGAACATTCATATATGCCAGGGGTGGCCAAACCTGTTCCTGGAGAGCCACCTTCCTGCAGATTTCAGTTGCTCCCCATATTAAACACACCTGAACCAATTAATTAGGACCTGAACACCACGTGATAATTACAGGCAGGTGTGTTTGACATGGGTTGCAACTGAAATCTGCAGGAAGGTGGCTCTCCAGGAACAGGGTTGGCCACCCCTGATATGGGTTGTTGCTAGAGCGGATATGTTTGCTGCCGGAAGTTAACGCAAATTATTTCTATTATTTATTAAATTTCTCATTTGTTGTATTTTATTAACGTCTACCCCCACCCGCACCCTAAACCCAACAGTCACAGTAATGTAAAAACTGCAGTTGTACCGAGTATTAGTTATGTTATCCATTAAATTACCCAATAAAATTTATTTTTTAACGCCTACCCCCACCCCAACCCTAAACCTAACCCTCACAGTACTGTAAAAATATTAATTATTGTTATACAGTGTCAAAAAAAAATGCTACTTTATTAATGTGCATATTGCACTTTCGGCTGGCCGCATATCCGATCTAGACTTTACCCCTGATATATGCTTTACATTTATCCATTTCTCAGTGAATATGGGTAATATATAGTAATATATATTGATGCATTTGAACAAAACTGATTTAATAAACAGATTTATTTATTAAAATAATATTTTAGTCACAGAACATTTTTAGAAATGGAAAGATATTAGAATATAGAATATTGTAAAGCATCCTATAGAAAATATAAATTTAAATGAGAGATTTGTGGGGGTGTACTTATATATGTTTAGCACTGTAATAATTAATACACAACCAACAGTACAACAAATGACACTGTCTGATTTAGAAACTAAAAACAACAAAGAGTAAAAATAACAGATGGCAGAAATAAAATAAACCAAATTCAGGATGACTCACCATCAGTCCCATCAATTTTAGAGGGGTCTTGAACAGACGGAGGCGACTCAGGACTGACCGAATCTGCATCCGTCATTTTCTTAATATTGGAGGGGCCCGGAACACTCAAGGGCTGAGGATCTTCACAGACCTGGACTGGCGGACGCATCTGCTCATGGTCAACATGATCTGCGATGGCCGTTGGCTTGATCCTGGATGGTCCTGGAACAGCCAACGACTCGAGACTGTCGCAGACCTGGACTGGCGGACGCATCTGCTCAGTGTCAACATGACCTGTGAGGGCCGTTGAGGACTCAGGACGGGCCCGATCTGCATTCGGCACATCTGCTGTTTGCTTGATCCTGGAGGGGCCCGGAACACTCAAGGGCTGAGGATCTTCACAGACCTGGACTGGCGGACGCATCTGCTCAGGGTCAACATGATCTGCGATGGTCGTTGACTGGATCCTGGATGGTCCTGGAACAGCCAACGACTCAAGACTGTCGCAGACCTGGACTGGCGGACGCATCTGCTCAGTGTCAACATGACCTGTGAGGGCCGTTGAGGACTCAGGACGGGCCCGATCTGCATTCGGCACATCTGCTGTTTGCTTGATCCTGGAGGGGCCCGGAACACTCAACGGCTGAGGTTCTTCACAGACCTGGCCTGGCAGCAACACCGGCTCAGGGTCTGCATGTGCTGCGACGGTCCTTGAGGGACCTGGAACAGGCAGGTGCTCGAAATAGTCGTTATCTGACTGTGGTTCAAAGGGAACCACTCTGCTCTGGTCACAGCTAAGGAAAGGGCGCTTTGCAGCCTTCCATACTCTCTTAAAGAAAGCAGAGACTTTTTTCCCTTTCCTCCTTTTCTCTGGGTTTTCTGAAGTAAAGGAAATGAACAGGGAAACATTAGAAAACTCTTTAACCACAAGTTTAAAATAGACAAACTGCTAAAAATTAGACATATAAAAGACAATCACACAAAAGAAACATCAACAATAAATGTACAATTATAATAGAAAATGTTTGACAACTACAATAATTAATTGGAATTGCGAATCATTTCTATGACGTAAAATGACAAATACAACCTAACAAATAGTCGATAAGTCATCCATTTTAGACATTAGGAAAAATCCTAGAAGCAACTGTTTTGCAAAAATAAACATTTCACTCCTGCTCACACGAAATGCAAACTATTATAATAACTAATTTTTTGATTTTTCAAAATTCTGAGTTATAGAATATTTTATTATAGTTATAGTTTGAGCTATTTAACAATCACCATCACAATGTTTAATCAAATTTATGAAGCCTTTTATTTTTTTTTCAGTGGGTGCCACATCTACATCGACATTCTTCAATCAAGCACCACTTCTCCACCACAAAAAAATAATGAAACAAAATCCATATTTTTGCAGCTTTCCATTAGCAATCGTCAAACTCAAAGTTAACAATTTCTTGTGCTCTGGATCTTCAGTTAAGAAATCTGTGAGTAAATTATAACTTAAAACATTTAACAATCAGTCTTAGAATTCCAAATGAAAAGAGAAGTCTGGCTCCAGAACTTCAGTTAAAGAAACAGAGCTATACACATTTATTATTATGGAGGAAAAGTTGGGTTCATGTTTGTTAATTTAACTGTCTCCATGTTGTTTACCATGCTAATTTGAACATTGGGTGTGAAATAGCATGTAAGTAAGACTTCAAATCAACGTTATAACTAATTAATTGACAGTAAACAATGTTGTAGAATGATAGTAATTTGGCTGTTAATATGATTTTCCCATTTAGAATTTAAAACAATATTTCTGTTATTATATTTTTAAGAAGAAAGTCAGAATGTGTGAATATAAAACCAACTTTCCCTTAATTGTATTAATTTATCCCTGCTTAAACCAATAAAAGACTTAAATATAATATTCTCACTCAGTTTGCTCAAATATAACAAATATTCCTCCACACCATCAAAAACTAAGAAAATTACTGCGTAGGTCTACACATAAAGTTTAAATTAAAGTAATATTAGAATGGTTTTTATCAGTAACGTTAGCGAGGCACAATTTCTGTTGAGTGGAAAGGAGAAACTTTAAAGCCAGAATGTCAATACATAAAATGACAGCAGGCCTCAATCCCAAAGTCAGAAAATATACAATATACACGAAACCATTACGATCACGAGAGGTTGAATATTTGCCTCTTAAGTCTGTAAGCTTCGTTATATGGCGATATATTATTATTTTTTATAGTTTTTATTAAATAATAGGTGGGAATACACCGTTTTTGTAAACTCTCATCTCACCTGTTGGGCTTCTCGTCGTGGTACAAGGTGTAGGAGAAGCCATCGTGTCACTCTGATGATTATTGTTGACAAAGTCAGTCGTGATCTTTTTAACTCGATGAAAAAACAAAGTTGACTTATTATTTTCCATTTGAGACGCAAAACAAGTCGCTAAAGTCATTAAATCACTGTTCACTGTACTCGTTCGTTTGTCACTCTGAGGAATTCTGTCGGCTATGACGTAACGGCCTTCTTCTCGTTCTATTTATTCGTCATGAGATTGCTTCTTCCAGACACTTACAACTTCAAGATATTATTTGTTACTATGAAGGTAAAACTGATATATAAGAGAACAACATTATTAACTTTTTTATTTTGTATGGAAAATATTTTATTTTATTTTATTTTATGTTTTAATTTTTTCAAACAAAAATTCTCCAATTCGCAGCCTTCTTTTTCACATTTTTTGATTGAAATTGATGTTTTTATTAGCTAAATCTCTTAGACTAGTTAATAACAAGAAAATTATACATTCTTGGATTATTATGATAAATATTTTGGAAATATCACGGATACATAAGTCCTTGTTTCCTCTTGCTGTATCTGAATTATGTATCTCTGTTTAATTGTTAATTTAAAAAATAGTTTCTCTTTTAATTAAATTTATATATATATATATATATATATATATATATATATATATATATATATATATATATATATATATATATGTTTATGTTATTTATCCTGATCTTTTATTATCATTGTTTTTTGTGCAAAATTGGATTTTGTATCTTTGTTATTGAATTCAGTAAAAAAATTTAAAAATAAATAATACAAATTTGTCATCAGTGAGGTGATATTTTACCAAAGCATATAAACATGTATTAAAGTTGTTTATCACAGTCAATATTAAGTGGACATTAGTGTTTTAAACATAAAAGATTGAATAAGAAATATGAAGGGTTGGGCTAAAATAGTCCATAAATTATCAGTCCACAAGAGAAAGAAAAAAATGTATTATGATTTATTGGACAAATAACAAACTGGTAGGCACAAATAACCTCACTAGTCAGAAATTGGCCATCTGAATAATAAATAATAATATCTAAATAATAATAACATCTGAATAATAAATCATCTGAATAATAATAATTAGAATAATGTCCTTCCCTTTTTATGCTTCTCTTGTAAATTAGTAAAATTCTTCTTTGACATAAAATATAATCGCTAAAATATTATCATTATCAGTGGATTTTACTTATTATATAAAACTCTATTTAAAAAGTATTGATTTATGAAGGCTTTTGGTGCTGGACACTTTTTTGTTTCTCGTTTTGTTAAACAATTCACGTCGCGTCATGGTTAAAAAGTAGTACCAAAATGAAAAGTCAAATCCGGTCCACTTGTAGTCACCTGTAAACCCCAATTAATACATTATTTGAGTGCAATAGTGTTACAATTAAGCAAACTATTTATTGTGCCTATAGTAACAGATTTAGATCACTGTTAAACAGACACATCTAAGAAGAATAAATAAAAAAAACAACAACACAGAAATATAGACAACACAAGTGAAATTTTATTTTAGAGTCTTTATTTCTACTATCCTCCAGCTCTTCCTGGAAGGTGCTCGCTGTGTTCCTCCATTGCTGCATCTTTTTCTGTGCCTGTAGCATCTGGACTCCATCACTTCACAGCATCTGAGGGGAAGAATATGATTTTGTATGATCCTAACAACTAAAAACTTACAACAGACCAAGACTTTTTGTCATGTTTCATGAATGCACAGTAATGTGCAGAGCAGGGCCGTGGACAGGGGGGTGGCCTGGTGGCTAGAGCCACTGCCCCTCTGCCCTCATTGGCTGAGGTGCCCCTTTCAGCCTGTAAATAAATAACATTTTTCTGTTGTTGGAACACTTTGTTGACAAAAAAAATTCTCAAAAAACAATGCCTTTACAAAAAAGAAGAGAGACAGAGAGAGAAAGAACGAAGGAAGGCTAATAAAGGTAGTTTAACACTGAAAACATGGATTTAAAGCTCCAGCAGGTAAATCATCATATGGAACATTTAGCTGTGCTTGTCTAATTAAGTAGGCCTATATTTTCCATAATAATCACTATAATCACAGGCTACAGCAAATCATTTGATTCAAACCATGTCAATAGTAGGCCTATAAATAGTTTAAAAAATGCAATATTAAGTTTAATATTAATATTAAGTAATATTAAGAGGCAGAAGCAGCTTCAAAAAGTGAGGGAGAGACCACTGAGCATGAGCTAAAATCAGTCAAGTAAGACTGTTAATCTGGAAGGGATATGCTAGAGTGTCATATAAGATAGATGGACATTTAAATAATTTAAATATTGCAAATGCTTTGTTATTCATTCTAAGATGAAACTGGCTCAGAGTCAACTCAGCAAAGTAAAGGTGATGGAGACAGAAAATGTTCAGATTGTCCATCCAACAGTAAATAGTTTCTGTTATTATCCGCAATGTGTAAATGTGAATCACATACATGGAAGATGAGCTTATAAAGATCTTTCAGGACAAAAAAAAAGTTTTGTTGTTAAAGGTACAGGTAAATATAAAATGTAAAATGGTAAATAGTTCTGAAATTATTACAGTGTACTTTTTTTTCTTTTAATTGTACTTTTACAACATCTAGAAAGTTTGTATAAGCAAGAACCCACCCACTTAGTGCCCCTTTTTTTGGTTTAGGCCCCTGCCCCTCAAAATGTCTGTGCACGGCCCTGTGCGCTATGGGTGAATAGAATAAGCTAAATTGGTGTATTTGTGTGAATGAGTGTTTATGGAGGTTTCCCAATACTGGGTTGCAGCTGGAAGGGCATGCGCTGTATAAAAAATACCCTGGATAAGTTGGCGGTTCATTCTGCTGTAGCGACCCCTGATGAATAAAGAAACTAAGCTGTAGGAAAATGAATGAAAGATAAAAATCTATAATATTACAAACATATTTTTTCTTGATAAATTATATATTAACATTATATATATATATATATATATATATATATATATATATATATATATATATATATATATATATATATATATATATATATAAAATGTAAATATATTTATATAAAATATATTTGGTAACTTTCAATAAAACATATTTTTGAATTTCAGCCTTCATATGTAAAAACATGTTTGGAAATAAATTACATTACAGTATCCTTTTAAATAAAATTCATTATTTAGAATAAATTACACACACAAACAGCGCAGCCGAAAAGTATTTATAGGTCTTCACTTTTTCCAGATTTTTTATTTTCTCAAAATTCTACACTCAATACCCCATAATGACAATGTGAAAAAAGATATTTTGAAATTGTTACAAATTTATTAAACATAAAAAGACCTGAAAAGCTACATGCACATAAGTATTCACAGCCTTTGCTTAATACTACTTGATACGACGGTGTACAGCCATTTTCAGATCTCTCCAGAGATGTTCAATGGAATTTAGGTCTGGGCTCTGGCTTGGCCACTTCACTGAGTTGTTGTGAAGCCACTCCATTGATTTTGGCGGTGTGCTTTGAGTCATTGTCCTGCTGGAAGATGAACCGTCGCTCTAGTCTGTGATCAAGAGCACTCTAAAGCTTGGAGGTCTACAGACAATTCCTTTGTCTTCCTCATGCTTGGTTTGTGCTTTCACACATTTTCAAATCATGTCCAATCAGCTGAATTTACCACAAGTGAACTCCAACTAAGCTGCTGAAACATCTCAAGGATGATCAGTAAAAACAAAATGTACCTGAGCTCAAATTAGAGCTTCACGGCAAAGGCTGTAAATACTTATGTACATGTGATTTTTCAGGTTTTTTATTCTTAATAAATTTGCAACAATTTAAAAAATATATTGTTTCACATTGTCATTAATGAGGTATTGTGTTTAGAATTTTGAAAAAAAAATTAATTGAATCCATTTTGGAATAAGGCTTTTACATAAAAAAGGTGAAAAAGTGAAAAAGGAAAAAGTGAAGTGCTATGAATACTTTACAGATGCACTGTTTTTCAAGTGCTTTTAAATATATTTAGGTACATTTTATTTTCAAAAGAATAACAAAAATTGGTCAAAAATGCTTTATAATAATTATTTGTTTGCCGTTTTTTTGCATATTTTATAATGAATTAAAAAAATACACAAGTAAATATAATCTTCTTTATATTATGAGATGTTGTTGATGTGTTTAGAATGTTTCTGATACAAAAAATCTTGCTTATATACATTTTATTTCATGAACAGAAATCCCGAATACAGAGACAAATCTGTGTGAAAACCAAGCCATGAAGATGCGCATAAAGCTGCAGATGACAGCATCCAGTCCTTGATGATTTTCCACTATCTCTCTCTCCATGTAAGTGGGTCAGGCTGTGGGAGGCAGATGGGGATTATGACATCACTTCCTCAGAGCTGGAAAATTACACCGCTCTGGACAATATGTCTGACCTTTAATATTACAAATCATACAACAACACACACATTCCAGAGGCAGATTCATGAGTGAATATCTTAACAGTCTGGGTACGAACAGATCCAGAAGAGTCATATATTGCTGATTACGTTAAAGACCACCTTTTTTTGGTCAAAGAATATTCTGAAAGCCTTCATAAAAAACATAAGACAAATTCAAATGTGTATTATAGGTAAGGCTGGATTGTGCAAAAATGTAAAACCAACTTAAAAAGTAATGAGAATGCATGAGCGGGTAACATAAAATGGTACAAAAGGTGTTATTTCATTCCTTTTTTGATGGATTTCAGTACCTGTGGCTCTCATGGCTTCAGGTTCCTTAATAATCATAGCATGCAGAGGTTAATTTCAGCACCGCCATCAGTGTCATCCTCACTGAATCAAGGAAAATGATCAATATATATATATATATATATATATATATATATATATATATATATATATATATATATTATTGTTGTTTTTGTCATTAATATTAATAATATTCTTCTCAGTAACACAGTCTTAGAAGCAAAACACCATCTTAAGATAAAGGATGGTTTGCTTGCCAACTTTGGGTATTTAAAGATTTCAGCGTTTCCATAACAACCAACCCACGTCTAAAAAGTGCCGAGCCATAGTACACACTGTACTCACTGCCTTCCAACTGACGGCAGATAGCTCTCTGCAACTCTCACACACTGAAGCTAAGCAGGGCTGCGCCTGGTCAGTACCTGGATGGGAGACCACATGAGAAAGCTAGGTTGCTGCCGGAAGAGGTGTTAGTGAAAAGAGCAGGGGGCTCCCAACTTGTGGTCTGTGTGGGTCCTAATGCCCCAGTATAGCGAAGGAGACTCTATACTGCTCAGTGAGCGCCATCTTTCAGATAAGACGTCAAACTGACTCTATGTGGTTGTTAAAGATCCCAGGATGTCCTTCGAAAAAAAGTAAGGGCCAAATTTGCCACTAGTCTCTGTCTATCATGGCCTCCTAACCATCACTCTGTCTCCTCTCCACAAATCAGCTGGAGTGCGCTCTGGCGCAATATGGCTGTCGTCGCGTCATCCAGGTGGATGCTGCACACTGGTAGTGGATTTTGAGATTTCCCCCAATGTTTAAAGCGCTTTGAGTGTCCAGAAAAGCACTATTTAAATGCAATTAATTAAGAATGATTAAATGCTGACCCTTGTCTTTAGAAAAATCTAGATTATTCATAATTAAGACCATGATTATTAGGCAAACGGGAGGGTAACAGATTTGACAGACAAATTTAAAGTTGCGTAAATCTGTTGATAATTTTAAATGATGGAGATCACCCATTTCTGGTGAAATCCAGTGTTTGGACAGGAGACCACAAGGGAAAGCTAGGTTGCTGCCGGATGTGGTGTTAGTGAAAAGAGCAGGAGGCTCCCAACTTGTGGTCTGTGTGGGTCCTAATGCCCCAGTATAGCGAAGGAGACTCTATACTGCTCATTAAATCTGGTCTTTTAGATGAGACGTAAAACCAAGGTCCTGACTCTCTGTGGTCATTAAAAATCCCAGGACGTCCTTTGAAATAGAGTAGGGGTTTATCCCCGGCATCTTGGCCACTGGTCTCTGTCCATCATTAACTCCTAACCATTCCCATATCTTAACTGGCTTCATCACGTCTCCTCTCCAAAAACCGTCGTGTCATCCAGTTGGATGCTGCACACCGGTGGTGGATGAGGAGATTCCCCCTAATGTCTAAAGCGCTTTGAGTGTCCAGAAAAGCACTATATAAATGTAAGGAATTATTATCAATTATCAAATGCTTCAGAAACATCTGTATTATTCATAATTAAGACCATGATTATTAGGCAAACAGGGGGGTAACAGATTTGACAGACAAATTCAAAGTTGCATAAATCTGTTGATAATTTAAAATGATTGAGATCACCCATATCTGGTGAAATCCAGTGTTTGAAGTACAGTTACAAGACTCTGATGAAGAAAAACAGATAGGAAAAAGGCAAAAAATAAAAACAAAATTAAAAAAGAAACAGAATTCCGTATGATTTTGGGCATAATTGTTCAAGTATTATAAATACTGAAATTAAAAAAACTGTGTTTTTTCTATTTTAATCAAGCACATGGTAAGAACAGTCACAATAACGCAAAAATGAAGGGAGAAAGTAGTTCTCTGTGCTGTTTTCCATCCAATACAAAAAAAACAAACACACAACCTGACTTATAAAAAAATAGCCCATAACAGAGTTGAAGACAGCAGTGTGGCAGATGGAATGAAACCAGGTAAAAATGTCCAATCTACAGTTGTTTGGCTGTGGTTTAGAGTGTCCGGTTGCGCTGTGTTAATGTTATGAGAGTTTGACAGCGATCTTCTGCTCTTTTTTCATCATTCTCTGCACCTCTTTCTCCATTTTCTTCCTCTGCTGCTCCATGGCACGTCTCTCTCGCTCTGCCATCTTCTGCTGCCTGTGTTCAGAAACATAAATAAGCTATTATTACTGGGGTGCTTGAGCACATTACAGTACAAACATTAACACATGTAAATACAGTATAGTCATTTCATTAAACAATCATGAGTTTAAAATATGCTGTGATAATCGATGTGATACAGTGGCTCAGTAATGCAGTGCAGGCTGAATCAACTGTGTTTGTACACTGACACCTAGTGGATAAAAAGAGACTAGCCTGCACATTTCCCTTCCGCTATTTTTACAGATCTGAAAGCAGCGATATTAGAGCACCACCTGCTAGTTACCAAATATTTAACTTTTTATTACAATTTAATTCCATTTCCAAGCATTTCCATGTATCAAATGGCTGCACTGTTTAACCCTTTATTGAAAACTCATTGAAAGGCTCATAGGTAAAAACACTGGAGTTTTACTGGGGTTATAACAAGACTTTAGAAGTTTTCCGACTTTTTTTTTTTTATATTGTAATAAAAATCAATTACGTTTTTTACTCTATCAAGCTAATTTTCCATTTAATTCATATTACAAAATGTAATAATCTTGTAAACATTTTTAAATAAATTAAATTAATTTCCATTACTTCAGTTTTTGGCATCATATTTCAAAAATCATTTAGTTTTACCATGGCAGGGATTTTAATGTTTCCCATATATTATTATATTTGCATAATTTTTCAATTATATAAATGGAGACTTGATCTTAATAGAAAAATGATAACTAATCATAGGTTCAATCATAAAATGTTGGTGTAAATATGTTATGATATATTTTATTCTCTAAAGGTGCAATAACATTTCTTTGAAGTTTCAAATATATAGTGTTGAGCATAAATGAGTACACCCTTTATAGATCTCTCTCTTTTAAATTAAGATTTTCTATAGGATGCTTTACAATAATATATATTATGCATATAGATTAGATTAGCCCGAACTGGAACTAACCCATCTAAAAAACGTCAGATCCCAGTCCAAACATTAGCACACCCAAATCAATATGCTGGGAACAAATGTTAAATATAAAAATTGAAAACAATACACAGAACTCATCTCTCAAAAGCCCAATTTTCTAAAATGTATCCCAATGTTTTAGATATGTGTGAAAAATGTAAACTTTCACTATGTAACCTTAGTCATGTGTTTGTATTTTGTCCCAAGTTGCAAAGTTATTGGATTACTTTCTTTAGAATTGTTTCTGATATTCTGGGGGTCAAGTTAGCTGTTTGCCCTTTAATCGCGATCTTTGGTGTTCCCTCTCAGTGTCAACCTTTAAACCAGAGACACGCTGACATTGTGGCTTTTGCATCTATTCTCGCTAGGCGCAAAATACTGTTGTCTTGGACCTCCCCACAACCCCCCTCTGTTTTATTGAAGCTCAAAGATTTGGTCTTCTTTTTAAAACTTGAGAAAATTAAATACAACATCAGAGGTAGGAGAGAACAGTTTTTTGAAAAATGCCAACAATTTATTGCATTCTTTAATCACTTAAAAACCTTAGACGTGGACTGAGTGGAGGTACATGTGTATGTATGTATGTATGTATGTATGTATGTATGTATGTATGTATGTATGTATGTGGTTTGTTATTATTTTTTCTCTGTATTTGTATTTTTATTATTTATTATTATTATTTTGTTAATTTTATTAATTTATTTACTTATTAATTTGCAGATGTTGATTGTTTTATCTGGAGATTGTTTTGTGGGTTGTAATAAAATGTAAAATGCTATTTGCAAGAATAAAAATTCCATGACAAAAAAAAATTATAAACAGGATAAGTCAAGAAAAACTATTTTTTTTATTTTTTATTAAAAATTTGGTTGAAATTTTGTGGTTTGTATTTTTTTGTATTATCTTTTAATTCCTACAAATGATTAGTGACTAAATTCTTTATTTTATTGGAGATAATAAAATAAAATTAATAAAACTGTTGTTTAAATGAGCCAAAAATATTAGCTCTATTCCCCGAGTAATGGATAGACATATTCATTTCAAAATAATATGTAACTAATATCATTTAAATCATTTATTTTTCAGAAAATGACAATTGGTCAGAATCAAGTGAAACAAGTGTTTCAGTTTGTTGTGATTGAAAATTAGGGATTTAGGGAATTAAATATTGAACTCTAAACTCTCAAAGTTAAAGGAATGATGTATTTTTTTTCTATTTGTAGGCAGTTATGTATTTGTGTAAAGCAGGGCCTGACTGGGACTCCTGTTTAGCCTTGGAGTTTCAAGCCTTAGACCGGCCCACCTCAGTTCACGACTGACTATATATTAAAATAAAGTCATTTCCAGTTCAGTTTTTAATGACACTATCACGTCTTTTTAAGGACACAGCTGCTTTAGAACTTCAAATGTTTTTCATAAATATGAGAACATTAAAGGGTAGCTAAATCTCCAACACTACTCTTTAAAACATCACAACATCCTTTCCTGCAATATTTGAATATATATTATGTGCAAAATTCTTTATAGATATTCAGTCCTTTGTAACGGTGGTCACACAAAAAGTTAAAATACAATATGTACACCTACTTAAGTAACCCAAATAGTATTATATGTCTTAACACTAAAAATGAAAAAAAAAAAATTATAATTTAGGTGAGGTTGGAACTTGGGACGGCGGCGACGTAATGCTACATGCTGGACCACAATAGCATTATTGTGCTGGTGCGTTTGCAATCAAAAATAAGTATTGCACCGTTATCTGCAAGACTCTTTTAACCATAATATTATTTTCTATTGATGGCTTAAACTTTTTCTCCCATTTTTACATTTTCTGACCAAGTTATGTCAGATTTATTAATGTCGTGATCATCTGTAATGTAGAAAATCATCTGATTTTCATTGTAATATTCATTAATATTAATTATTTGAATTTTTGTATTTACTAAAGTGCCGTTGTCATCATTAATGTGCAGGCTGCATTTTGCTCACAGGGCTGCGAGAAAATAAATAAAAAGAGTGGAGCTGCGGCAAAATAATGAATAAAAAAAGTGAGGCAAAAATAAATAAATAAATGTAAAAAGTGCGACTGCAAGCAGCTAGGTGATCAAAAAAACAGACCGGCCCACCGGGAATTCTCCTGGTCCTCCCGATTAGTCTATCCGGGCCTTATGTGAAGCCATTTTCTAAACTACTAACCAAATTTTAAAATGAATTCATTCAATTTTGTCAAGAGAATCAAGCTGAACCAGAACCCTTTCATGTTTATTTTTAAGGACACACGGATTCAGCCAGAATCAGCCATCTCACCTCAGCACTTCCTCTGCCTCCCAGGCTGCATCTGCTTCATCCTCCCAGGCGTTGTTGTCCTCCTGCCAGGTGTCCAGATCCCCCAGCTCTGCCTGCAGACACACATCTTTCTCAATGAGCTTGCTTACATTTTACATTCACACTGATAACTCACAAAAATCAGCTTTCTGAAATAATCTCACCAGTTTGTAACCAATCCACGAGTAAACTGCATTTACAAAACCTTCTTATTAAATCAGTTTGTGCCCAGCTAGCGATGTCAAAAATGAACAATATAAGCTATTTATTTTTATTTTGTCACGTTAAATAAATCATTAAAAACTGAAGAGGAGTATAGCAACATGTTAGCATGAGACTTATGGCTCAAATAGAATATGTCCAGCATTTTAGTATATGTTTTGCGACATTTTCATTTCAGCACTTCTACGCAAAAATGGCATAACGGTTAAGATAATGTCTTAATCCGCTATATATTTCTCCTTCCATTCCATATAGTATTCTTGTCACATATCACACCTGCGTATTACAATAAACCAACAGAAAAAAGGTTCATGTATTTATTAAAGGTGCCCTATGAAGTAAATCTGCATTTACATAGACATAGTCCAATAATAAGAGATCAGTACATGGAAATAGGCATACCGTGAGTCTCTGACACCATTGTTTCCTCGTTTTCCACAAGTCTAATGCCCCGAATCAGAACACAAAACAGACTGTTGCGTGACTCACAGGCCACGCCTCATCATATGCATGTACTTTAGGTCAGGTTCTACGTCATCCAGACCTGATGAGCAGCCCCGTAATCACCAGCCAAGACACAAGCTGATATGTTGCTCTAGGATCATTAATATACATGCATAAGGCTATGTTTAATAAGCCACAACGTTTCCCCCTTAATTAAACTAAATTTATATTTCACTTACTTATGTCTGCGGGACTTTTATTTTACTGCGGGAGATGCTGATTGTTTACTATGCGTTACCAAAGAGCATAGAATCACCAAGAGGCGTCACTCTAGTGCAATTTGGGAAACAGTCACTAGATGGCGCGGCGGCCATTTTGGAATGAAAATTCCAACAGAACAACAGCATATTATAAATCTGTAAATAAACAGTTATAAGTGCTGATGATTGTCATAGTAAGTGTTGTATTGTCGTCTTTCAGGTTGTATCTCAGCTTTAATGCGCTTTTTAAATAAATAAATAAAAAACAAAGCAGCTGCTTGCCATCGCGACAGTAATAAGATCCAATGGACAGCCGATGGCTTACACTCCAAAATGGCGGAATCACGGGGCTGTTGCTGTCGCTGCTATCGAAATGGAATGTTGTATTGAGTGTCGCCTCTTGGTAATTCTAAGCTCTTTGGCGTTACCAGGACAACACTCGTATGAGCAGTCATTTCAAATTCATGTCAGGGCGTAAAATGCAGGATATACAAATTATATATCTATCCAGTGCCACCCTGAAGAGGCATAATTCTATCTTATGTTAATGTATCATGTTGAATGTGAAATCTTATGAGTATGTTTTAAAAAACATGTGTTGCCATATACCTACTATCTAGATATTAAAGAAAAATTAAGCTTATTAAAACAATGCAGTTTATGGGACCTTTAAACAGAAAGTTCACTTTAAAAACATTTTTTTCCTCACCATTTACTAGTGATTTGAAACATTTATGAATTTCTTCTGACATTCTGCCTACATAAACCATTAAATCCCTTTGTGCTGGTCTAAAGTGTTAATGAGTCTCATAATAACTGAGTGATTCATGTTATTTTGCATCACTTACAGCAGGCTGGATGAAGGACATGTCCTGAGTTGCGGCTAGTCGGCTGGAGAAACCTGAGGAGCTGTCTGGCATAGAGAAATTCAGAGGTTCCCTTTTCTTCAAGACAATCTGGAATTTAAAAAAAAGAGCAAAATTTTTTTAATATAGGGTAGATACTTACTAATATTTAAACATTTTTTAAAATGTATTTTATGATATACCAAGATTGCATTTATTTGATTTAAATATAGTATATACAGTAATATTGTGAAATATTATGACAAATTTAAATAACAATATTTAAATAACTAGATTTAAAAATATTTATTTATTCCTGTCATGGCCAAGCTCAACTGTACGCATCATTATGCCAGTTATCAGCGTTACACGATATTCAAAAATCAGTCAAGCGTGATGATTTGCCAATTAAAAAAAGTGATGGTACTATATTATACATTATACATTATATATATTATATATAGTATACATTTCTTTTTTTAATGTTGTATTTATTCAACAGTGGTAACACTAAAATGTAATATACTGTATATAAATATATCTGTGTCTTTGACAAAAACCACAATCACTTCTTGAACTCAACTCAACGAGCTAAAAAATTACTTTATTTAATTCAAATTTCATTTCAATTCACCCTTACAATTATGGAAAATATCTGTTGTATACAGTTGCTTTTATAGAGAGAAATCACCAGAAAGAGAAAGAGAGAAGGTTATTAGGACAGAAGAAGGTCAGAGACAGAGAAATAAATAAATAGCAATAACATAAGAGCAAACGTAACTTCCCCAAATAATGAGCCTACTTTTTGTGTTTTCCTGATGGTTGGAGCCATGTCTTTAAAGTAGTCTGGCTCTTCTTCTTCAGCCTGATTCTGTGGAGGTGCAACTATCCCGTTACCGCCTTCAATTTTGATACTGGTGGGTGCTTCTTCATCCCATGAGCTCCACTCTTCAATCTCCGGCTAAAAAAAAATATATATATATATATATATAATATATACATATTTACTCATTAAAAGGACTATTAAATCAGATCTAACCATATTAATTGTGTTAGCTCACATTGCCAGTTTTGTAGTGAACAATTCATCTGTGCATGTCATTAGGAAAAAAAAAATTGTCTGCCCTTGTAATCTACAATTAAAATCTGAAAATGCACTTCCGATTTTATTTTTCAGTTAAATTCTCAGGTTGTATAAGTATTGAGGTATTGGGCATTTTTAACATACTTGACCACGCCCCTCCAACTGTCAGTTTTGACAACATACAGAAATGGTAAAGAGGTGGTGTTTGATAGGTTGTAATAACTCTCCCAAAACCCATGTCCCGATATTTCTGAATGAAACACCTACTTTACTTCATCCAATCAGCTCGCCGTAGAAAAAAACAAACAAGCCACGCCCACTGTTTTCTCATTTAATATGCCATTTCTCTATTTATCAATTTGCATCACAATACAAAAAAATTACAAAATACAGACGCAACTTCCAGTTCATGTGGACTTCAAGTCAACACTAGGGACAGTCATCTCTTCATTTCCAAAGATCACCTTTAATCTTTTTATTAAATAAACACATTATGGACTATTATAATGCATTTTACTATAACTTACGTACAATAAAATGTCAGTTTTAAAAAATATCTGGTTAGGTACATTTAGATCAGGAATCATGTTATGACACCGATATTTAATCAAATGTACTTTTACCGCTTTTACTTTAACCACTTGCCAGAAAGTATGCCGTTTCATCTTCAGATAAAAGTATGTTACGCTTGACAATATTTCATCCATATTTTGATAAAAAAGTTATTCAAAGTTAAAGTTATTAAATAATTGAATCATTTGAAGAATAATTCACTTTCCTTGCATTTATTACAAATCTATGCATCATAAGTTGGCCCACACGGAATCTGAGCGAGTAGAATTACGCAGATTTTTAGAACATTATTAATTCTGTTTATTTACTTGTGTAAATGTGTGTACCTTTATGTTTCTTCAATTTTTAAATTAATTTCAGTATAATTATTGACATATGAAAATATTCATATGATTTATTTACAATGCAGTTTGTAAAGTAATATTTTCTGTCTTTTAGTAGATATATTATACGAAAGACTTTGTTTACGGAAAAAAAACCGGATCTAACTGGATTTGCATTGTAAACACTAAATAAATGTTAAAAATGTATTATTTTTTATTTCATATATTAAGGTTTTAGTTATGACATTCCCAAAATCATTCTACATAAATCCATAGATTTTTAACAAAATTCTCTGCAGAAATTGAAAAAATGTCCGCAGATTCTGTCTGGCCCTATTATGTACAGTTGAAGTCAGAATTAATAGCCCCCTTCGAATTTTTTTCTTCTTTTTTTAAATATTCCCCAAATTATGTTTAACAGAGCAAGGGAAATTTCACAGTATGTCTGATAATATTTGTTATTTTGGAGAAAGTCTTATTTGTTTTATTTTGACTAGAATAAAAGCAGTTTTAATTTTATAAACACCATTTTAGGGACAAAATTATTAGCCCTTTTAAGCTATATTTTTTCTTGATAGTCAACAGAACAAACCATCGTTATACAATAACTTGCCAAATTACCCTTACTCGCCTAGTTACCCTAATTAGCCTGGTAAGCCTTTAAATGTCACTTTAAGCTGTATAAAAGTGTCTTGAAAAATATCTAGTAAAATATTATTTACTGTCATCATGGCAGAGATAAAATAAATCCATTATTAGAAATGAGTTATTAAAACTATTATGCTTAGAAATGTGTTGAAAAAATCTGCTCTCCATTTAAAAGAAATTGGGGAAAAAATAAACAAGTGCTCTAATAATTCAGGGGGGCTAATAATTCTGACTTTAACTGTAAATACGACTTCTCATTTTTTATCAATTTACAATTTATAGTTTTGCGGTCGAGCAAAACTTCATTCATTCGTTTTCTTAGTCCCTTAATTAATCAGGGGGCGCCACAGCGGAATGAACCGCCAACTTATCCAGCATATGTTATAAACAGTGGATGCCCTTCCAGCTGCAACCCAGCAATGAGAAACACCTATACACTCCCATTCACACTATGGTCTTACTTTTTATAAAACTTAATATTTGTTTTATAAAAAAATATTGCTATTTAGATTTTTTTGCATAAATTTATAATAAATAAATAGACAAATATAAGTAAACAAACATCAATTTAATAGAAATGCCACTAAATAAACAAAAGTATTTACATGATGAACAAATGCGAGATAGATAGATAGATAGATAGATAGATAGATAGATAGATAGATAGATAGATAGATAGATAGATAGATAGATATTTCGAAAATTACAGTGTTTGATAGATCGTATTTAAGTTGTCTTTATTCTGCTGTGTATGCTTTGCAATATATACCCTTATATGTCATGCCAATAAAGTAAATTGAATTAATAGTCAGACAGACATCTCTGTGAAAATATACCCAGACTGTTTTGTGAACCTCAATGTTTATGCCAGTCTCCAAGCATGGTTCTCTCACCTGTTTAGATGCAGAGGAATAGTCAACTGTGGTTGGGAGGGTGATCTGATCCCCGCTCAGCTTACGTGACCTTCCAGTCCTAAAAAAACAAAACACAACATTCAAAACATCATAACAGAAGAAATCGTACAGTCACTTCTGTAAAGGACATACATTCACCCCTGGTTATTCATAAATAATATCATCTCTGGATCATCATAATGACAAGGCAATTTACAAGGTAAACACACAAACAAATCAACAAAGGAGAATTACACTCACCTGCAAATCAGTCTTTTAAAAAATGAAAGAATAGATGCCAAGCAGGTGCATATTTTAAAAAGGCGAAACTGTGTGATGGCCATGTTATGAGTGATATCTAATAAAAAAGAAAGAAAAAGAGAACACAAGGAAATGAATTAATTTGACATTTCAAAACAGAAAACATAATCAAGACTCACAGAATTTAAGACAAATACATAAGCATTTCAGACATATGGTAAATATGAAGGTCCTGTAAGAATCCAATTGAACAAAAATTATCATAAATTGTACTTTCAGGACATGTGAATGTTCTGTCCTGGGGGTTAAAAACTAAATAATTTATGTATTTGCAATATGTGCTTTTGTTGTACCCATATTGACCTTTATTAGCAAACAATCAAGGAAGCAAATGAACTGCAATGGCAACAGCTAATGTTAGCTTACGTACATGTACAGCCAGCTAACTGAATATTTATGTTGTTTAATAATCGTACTTGGCTTTAGTTTTCATTAACAGAACTTGTATAAGAAAATAAGTAACGATATGGTTTAGATTTCTTCATTTACTCACCGGTCAGGTCAATAAAAGACAGTTGATGTGGGCAGAATCATAGCACGGGGCTAGCAGACTGATGCAAAACAACACTTGAACTCTACAGATGGGACGAAACGGGGAGATTAGTGTGTTTTGGCAAAGAAAGAGTTCAGGAGCGCAGAACCATCATGAACAGCGGCTGTCACGGCGATCGATCTCATCCATATTACTCTGATGCGGGCAGCCATCGTCCCTTCATTGTATCACCTCACGCCAACAGGGAACTGGAGTCCACGGGTTGCCAGGTTGACGCAGTAAAATCAGTTTCCAAGGATGAAATTTGTAAATTATTGTTGATGTCAGCAAAATAAATAAAAGTAACATTTGAAAGATACTGGAGAAAACATAAATAAATGCACAAAACATTAATAATTCGAATTTGAGTTCCATACATCAGTGATATTAACAACACGAAACCATGTAGAGTTATTTTGTACGAATACAATTCTTCACATTGTTCTAGTATTAAAACTGCCAAATTAAATAAATGACAATTATTAAAGTAGATTTCAATGACAATGTAAAAAGTATTGTCAAATTCTATATTTTTGTTCACAACATGGTTTGAGTCTGCGTTGTGATTGCAATCTGGCAACCCACGTGTTAGGGTCTGCGCAAATTTTAAGGGACGTTTTAAATTTTCAGCCACACCACACAATAAAAGTCTGTACTTTTGGGGGGAAACTCTTTAAATAAATTAATATGCGTAATTAATGTGACAGCTTTTTCTATGACTTGTGTTTGTTTAGACTATGTCAAGCACTTTGTAATATTTAATTGTCATGTAAAGACATGACAGAACACTGTAATTTTCAAAATATCTGTCTAACTTATCTATCTATCTATCTATCTATCTATCTATCTATCTATCTATCTATCTATCTATCTATCTATCTATCTATCTATCTATCTATCTATCTATCTATCTATCTATCTATCTATCTATCTATCTATCTATCTATCTATCTATCTATCTATCTATCTACTCTGCTTACAGTATTATTTTATTCATATTGTATCTTCAGTAGTACGTAAATTGTTTATTTATTTACTATATTTATACTATATTCATATTTTCTTATGTCTATATTTAATAATAATAATAAAATTGCATTATTAAATGCTCAAATCACAACTCGGTTTAATTATTAGAAATGTTAGACATTTTCACACCATGGCAAACAGTCTTAAAAAACGTTAACAAGGCGGATATATAATCACTATTTAGTCTTGTGTGGAAGTCTAAACAGTAATCTACTATATTAACATTTCAATTTGTATTTTTCAATCAATGTTTTCAGAGTGCGGTTCGATGGCGGTACCACGAGGTATTTGTTACTTTCCTCTTCGCTGAACAAGACGAACCAATCACGATCGTTCGCGTTTGCTAGAACGGCTGTAATTTAGAGGGGTTATTTTACTTATACACATTTGCGTATTAGATTCGAATTTTTATCAAGTAATTGTTTTATACTACTATCAACTGTTTAAATATTTTAAAATAAATTGAGTAAAATAAAACAAACTAAAAACAGAATGCAGATATTCGCTTTTCTGAGCCTTTAAGCGCCCCCTAATAAAATCAAGTTTCAGCCTGCAAAACAACGCTTCAGCTGTCTAAAAATTCAGTTTCCAGAAGTGGCTTTCGTGTCGGATCGTGATCCGGTTGCGCCTCCAGTGAAGGGAGGAGTGGTTATCAGTTTCTCCAGTGAAGGGAGGAGCTGCCACCGCACAAAAATGCAGCATTTCACCAGTCCATGTGCAATATTCGGGTAAAACTGATTTATTTGCTAAAACACTAATCTGGAGCGTGTCCCCCAGTTAGTGTGATCCATGCGTTATTGGATCTTCTCGGCCTGGGTTAGGCGAACAAACGCGAGGAGCACCAGTGTCGCCAAATATGTGAGTATCGCCGTGGCCAGGTATCTATCGCAGGTTTCAGTACACAAGCTTATTTAATGTCTGCTTCATATCAACAGTAATGCAAAGAGATTCCTGTTTCATGAATGTTAATCATCTAGTAAACAGTACATTTGGATGTTATGTGTAATTGAAGACGTCTTGGCACAGTCAATGCGTAATTTACGCCATTGTGATACTCTGTCCTGTTTTTTTTGCTGCTTTGACTTGTTATTAAACCAGATTGTGTGCTGGTTGGTGAAAAACATGATTTTTACACCAAAACGCATAATGCTATTAGAGATAAATACTGTGTGGCACTCTTGAACAATGCCTGACTGTCTTATTATCAACCAGTGTAGGTAGGAATTGCAGCATTAGGCATAAAAGTTGGTTGTAGTATTCAAGGGCCATGAAGGAAAGAAAAAGGGCTGAAACTAACCGCGGTAAAGTTAGTTTTACTTTCGACATTCATTTGACATTCGATTTTCAAATCAATTAAACTCTTTGTTCCTGTTATACTTTGGGCCAAAAATAGGTCAGATAGGCATAAATATGTGCCCTTTATGTTGCACAAGGCTTAATTTCTCGATTAAAAAAAAATAAAAAATTACCATAAAAATGAATTAAACAATTCAACCATATGGAATTATACAATAAAACTAGCACCAGAATATTCAAAAAAACATCCTGCATATTGCACAAGACTCTGTTTTTTGAATTAGCACTCTATTTATTTTATAATATTTTTTAAATATCTTTTAATGTAAAAATTGCAAAATTCAATTAAACTCTGACACCATTTGAAATAAAATATTCAAATCAACTGTACAATTGTCTAAATATTATTCTCTATGATGCACAAGCTTTGTTTTTTACAGTTATGCCTTTGTTGATTTTATATACAGTATTGAATCCATATTTTCAGTATATCGAATATACTGTAAATCTCTTAATGAATTAAACTCTGACACCTCTTGAAATTAAATATTCAAATCAACTGTACAATTGTCTAAATATTATTCTGAATGATGCAAAAGCTTTGCTTTTTTACAGTTATGCCTTTATTGATTTTATATACAGTAATAAATTCATATTTTTAGTATATCGAATATACAGCAAATCTCTTAATGAATTAAACTCTGACACCATTTGAGATAAAATATTCAAATCAACTGTTCAAGTGTCTAAATATTATTCTGAATGATGCACAAGCTTTGTTTTTTACAATTATACCTTTATTGATTTTATATACAATAATAAATCCATATTTTTAGTATATCGAATATACTATGATTCTCTTAATGAATTAAACTTTGACACCATTTGACATATAATATTCAAATCAACTGTACAATTGTCTAAATATTATTGTGAATGATGCACAAGCTTTGTTTTATACAGTTATACCTTTATTGATTTTATATACAGTAATGAATCCATATTTTATGTATATCGAATATACAGTAAATCTCTTAATGAATTAAACTCTCACACTATTTGAGATAAAATATTCAAATTAACTGTACAATTGTCTAAATATTATTCTGAATGATGCACAAGCTTTGTTTTTTACAGTTATACCTTTATTGATTTTATATACAGTAATAAATCCATATTTTCAGTATATCGAATATACAGCAAGTCTCTTAATGAATTAAACTCTGACACCATTTGAGATAAAATATTAAAATCAACTGTTCAAGTGTCTAAATATTATTCTGAATGATGCACAAGCTTTGTTTTTTACAGTTATACCTTTATTGATTTTATATACAGTAATAAATCCATATTTTTAGTATATCGAATATACTGTAATTCTCTTAATGAATTAAACTCTGACACCATTTGAGATAAAATTTTCAAATCAACTGTAAAATTGTCTAAATATTATTTTCTTTCATGCACAAGCTTTGTTTTTTACAGTTATGCCTTTGTTGATTTTATATAGAGTATTGAATCCATATTTTTCAGTATATCGAATATACTGTAAATCTCTTAATGAATTAGACTCTGACATCATTTGACATATAATATTCAAATCAACTGTACAATTGTCTAAATAATATTGTGAATGATGCACAAGCTTTGTTTTTACAGTTATGCCTTTGTTGATTTTATATACAGTAATAAATTCATATTTTCAGTATATTGAATACACTGTAAACGCCTAAATGAATTAAACTCTGACACTATTTTAAATATAATATTTAGATCAACTGTACAATTGTCTAAATATTATTCTCTATGATGCACAAGCTTTGTTTTTTACAGTTATGCCTTTGTTGATTTTATATAAAGTAATGAATCCATATTTTTAGTATATCGAATTTACATAAAATATCTTAATGAATTAAACTCTGACAACATTTGAAATACAATATTCAAATCAATTGCACAATTATCTAAATATTATTCTCTATGATGCACAAGCTTTGTTTTTTACAGTTATGCCTTTGTTGATTTTATATACAGTAATAAATCCATATTTTTAGTATATCGAATATACTGTAAATCTCTTAATGAATTAGACTCTGACACCATTTGACAAATAATATTCAAATCAACTGTAAAATTGTATAAATATTATTGTGAATGATGCACAAGCTTTGTTTTTTACAGTTATGCTTTTGTTGATTTTATATACAGTATTGAATCCATATTTTCAGTATATTGAATACACTGTAAACCCCTAAATGAATTAAACTCTGACACCATTTGAGATAAAATATTCAAATCAACTGTACAATTGACTAAATATTATTGTCTTTCATGCACAAGCTTTGTTTTTTACAGTTATACCTTTGTTGATTTTATATAAAGTAATGAATCCATATTTTTAGTATATCGAATTTACAGTAAATCTCTTAATGAATTAAACTCTGACAACATTTGAAATACAATATTCAAATCAACTGCACAATTGTCTAAATATTATTCTCTATGATGCACAAGCTTTTTTTTTTTACAGTTATGCCTTTATTTATTTTATATACAGTAATAAATCCATATTTTCAGTATATCGAATATACAGCAAATCTCTTAATGAATTAAACTCTGACACCATTTGAGATAAAATATTCAAATCAACTGTTCAAGTGTCTAAATATTATTCTGAATGATGCACAAGCTTTGTTTTTTACAGTTATACCTTTGTTGATTTTATATACAGTAATGAATCCATATTTTTAGTATAACGAATTTACAGTAAATCTCTTAATGAATTAAACTTTGACAACATTTGAAATACAATATTCATATCAACTGCACAATTATCTAAATATTATTCTCTATGATGCACAAGCTTTGTTTTTTACAGTTATGCCTTTATTGATTTTATATACAGTATGTAATCCATATTTTCAGTATATCGAATATACTGTAAATCTCTTAATGAATTAAACTCTGACACCATTTGACATATAATATTCAAATCAACTGTACAATTGTCTAAATATTATTGTCTTTCATGCACAAGCTTTGTTTTTTACAGTTATGCTTTTGTTGATTTTATTTACAGTACTGAATCAATATTTTTAGTATATTGCATACACCGTAAACACGTAAATGAATTAAACTCGAACACCATTTGAAATTAAATATTCAAATCAACTCTAAAATTGTCAAAATGTTATTGTCTACAATGCACAAGCTTTGTTTTTAACAGTTATGCTTTTGTGGATTTTATTTACAGTATTGTATCCATATTTTTAGTATGTCGAATACACCGTAAACACTTAAATGAATTAAACTCGAACACCATTTGAAATTGATTATTTAAATCAACTCTGAATTTGACTAAATAATATTACCTTGTTGCACAAGCTTTGTTTTTTACAGTTATGCTTTTGTTGATTTTAATTACAGTACTGAATCCATATTTTTAGTATATCGCATACACCGTAAAAAGTTAAATGAATTAAACTCGGACACCATTTGAGATAGTATATTCAAATTAACTCTGAAATTGTCTAAAAATTAGTGTCGATGTTACACAAGCTTTGTTTTTTACAGTTATGCTTTTGTTGATTTTATTTAAAGTGCTGATTCTATATATTTTTGCATATTATATACACAGTAAACACTTAAATTTATTAAACTCCGACACATTTGAGATAAAATATTTAAATTGGCTCTACAGATTTCTAAATATTATCCTCTATGATGCACAAGCTTTGTTTTTTACAGTTATGCATTTGTTGATTGTATATACAGTAATAAAACAATATTTTCAGTATTTCAATGTAAACACTTACATGATTTTTTTTTACAGTAATGCCCTTTGTTGATTTTATATCAACACTCAATATATATTTTTAGCATATCGGATACAATGTAAATACTTAAACGAATCCTCTATGATGCACAAATTTAGTTTTTTACAGTTGCAAAAGGGCAACCCAGCCCAGTTGTCCCCCTCACTGCGGCTGGCACTCAGGCAGATCTGAGGGTTACAGTGGGAGTAAATCCACCGCCTTCGGGCTCACGGACATCTCACTCGTCAGTGCGCTCCATCCAAGCTTCGAGCAAGAGAAGCGCTTTGTCCTCCCAGATGGTCGCCCTCTCACTCGATGAGACAGAGGACCAGATGTCCATCATTGCACCGAACCCGCTTCCTCCCTCCGGGATGGTGAGCACGGCGCAAGATCCAGAAGCGCATATGCTGACTGTGCTTTCCCGGGTTGCTTCGGCCATGTGTCTGAAGACGGTTCATCCCCCAGCCTTGTGGCCAGACTGACTAGATGGGTGCTACATGGAGGATACTAAAAGGCCAGACCTTCTAAGCCTCCCGTCCCCTTCTTCCCGGAAGTGCACAATAGGCTCATGCTGTCTTGGACAGCATCTTTCTCTGCCCGATCTGCATGCGGCTTCGCCACTCCTCACCACCTGACGGAGCAGCCAGGGGATACGAGACGATCCCCCGGATCGAGCGCACCATTGTGGTCAATTTATGTTATGGTTATTTGCCTCTCTCAGGACCAGAGCCTACACAGCCGCGGACC